ACAAGTCACAGGTAACTCAACAGCACATAACAACAACAAAAACAATAATCTCTGTAAATAAGGAGCTCTGGCGGCCTCGGCCTCGTGTTAAGCTACGATGCCAACCCTAAACATAATTCAAACTTACCAGCTGCTCTGTGGGAGAATGATGGACAATCTCCTCCCATAGAATTTACTGCCCTTGAAAATCCACTGGAGGGGTCAGCTTTGGGTCAGTTTGGACTTGATAGTACATAACAACAACAACAACAACAATCTCTACAAATAGCACTGCAGTAATAAACTCAAATTTATGGCTTGCTTATCTACTTGTTTTTTTTTCCTTTTTAAAGCCTGCAGTTAAGCCTTGATTTAGCACTATTAGCAAAGCTGAAAATGTAGCCTAGGACTCAGCAAATCCTCCTGGAAAGGATGCGTGGACAAGACTGGTTATACAGTATTGACGGAATGTTTAAAAAGTGCAAACCTCAATTTGATGGGTGAAGGGAGGGAATGGTAAAGGAAAAGGTCTGGTGTGAAAAACAACGTATTTGAACTTTGTGTGTAAACCCATATAGAAGAAATTCTAAACAACCAAGAAACCCCAAAAACCATAAAAACAATAGCCAAGGGAAAAAAGTGCAAACCTAAGCACTCATCACTAGAGAAAGTAACTGAAAAGGGTATTCCTCACAAACTTGCACAGTTTACATAAACAACCCCTCCTTATTTGCGTATGCATGCTCTTTGGGTGTATGTACTTGAAAACCTATATAAAAATAGGTATCTGTAGATGTTAACACAAAGCTGGTAAGGCTGGTTGCCTCCAGGGGAATGTGGACTAGGTGAGATCTTTCGCCATAGAACCTTTTGGAATATGTCTCAATTTTGTTCTGTATCCTGGATTCTTTTTTAAAAAATCAAACAAATAAAAAGCCTAGTCTTATACAATAAGCCTTTTTTACAATAATAACTAATTTTATATTCCTTCTCCATTAAATGAAAAATATTCACAGTGCCAATAAGGACTTGTCTTCTGTTTCAAGGGTTATGTGATCCTATCGGTTTAAGTGATCCGAGTTACAAAAATTACATTCATTCCCCTAAGAACATATTTTTTTTCTATAATTATATTTTATTAATTTTCATAAACATTTACAGAGATTTTGGGCTTCCACTCATTCACTGTTGCACTATTCTCTCTACCCTCCTCCCAGTTTGTTCTTGTCCAAATGCCACAGTGCTTGTCAAAGCCAGTCCTAAGAACATATTTATTGCAACCAGACACTACATGTACTGCAAATATATATTATGAACATATATTATGGATTAAGTGGGGAAGGGGAAGAAAAGGAAAAAAATTAATAAACAGAGAAGGTGGGTGAAAGGAATAACAATATACAATAAAAATTTGCAGAGACAATGCAGTAAGTTAACTGCATTAATCAATGATAAGTAATGCCTATAAATGATTGTTTGAAAAAAATACCCCAATGTGATTTACAAACTTTCCCGCAAATACAAGAGATTTAAAAATGTATATTTACCAAGTCTTTATTTTTATCTGCTCTTACAGAGCTTAAAAATGATCACAGAAGAAAATTACCATTTTTGTCACTGTGTAACTTTTATTCCACAACTAAGCTAACTGAATATAGAACTGCTTCAACATAAAAAAGTCCTCATCATAATTCAAGATAAAAACCAGCTTGCAATTATACCAGTTAGAAAACAAACTATGCTTATGTTGCAGTCTACCCTAAACTCTAACATATACACATAAAAAATTTAAACACACACATTCACATCCCCTCTGGCTTCTTTTTAGCTTATGTAAGACACACTTTTATGAAGAGCTGTTCTTTTCTTAAATCTTCTAGAATAAGCACCTTAGCTAGCAACATTACCTTGGTATCCTCTCCACCTCAATGATGGCAGCACAGTCTCTAGGGCTCAGAACCATTCCTGGCTCAAATCAGGTGGCCAAATATTCACTAGTGGATGAATAAATGGTTATCTGCCAATGGTCCTGACATTAAGTCTCACAAAGAAAAATTTTAGAAAGAGCAATCATGGGGGTGTGTGGAAGGACGTAAGAGACTTATTTTTTCACTTTAAAATGTTAGCATATGATAAAGGTGGAAAAAGAGAAGACTTATTTAATAAATATATATGACAGACTAACTGGATTTAGACCTCACTAAATTTTAAAACGAAATAAAAAAAAAACTCAAAAAACATCCAAAGTAATTTTTTAAAAACCACATAAAAATATAGGGAACTTATTTGTATTCTTTTACATGCATCAACTACATAAGGGAATTTTTTAATTAATATTTTATCACCATGTACATTTTATTTCATGCAAATACATTGTGTTTTACACAACCTTTCATTTATATTTTGTTTATGTATATTGTGGTGGATTTTTAAGCAAAGAAAATTAAAGACTAGGAGAAATATTTGCAGGACAAAAATATCCTCAGTGCATTATTAAGTAATTGTTGCTATGTGCTGTAGCATTCACAGAGCAGCTGCTGGATTCAAACCTCTTGCCTTTGGATTCGCAGCACAACTCCTTACCCAATCAACTGAAAAGAAAAAAACCTTAAGGATTTCAAAGGAACCTCACAAACCGCGAATGAACAATTCCTAAGGCAAAATAAATGGCCAATGATTTATTCAATCTCAGCAGTAACCAAGGAGCATAAAGATGGTCACTAAGACCTAATGAGGGCATGAAAAGTTGGCACTCTCATATGCTGTCCCAGGAGCAGTACAGCCATTTTGGAAGGCCACATGCTGATATGCACCAGCACCTCCATAGCTGGGCAGCTGTTTCTTCAGAAATATAGTTCCTAAGAAAGTTTTACATAGCATTCTTGAATAGCAAACCACTGGGGAAATCAACAGGGCAACATGAGACAAATCACCACCACCACAGGCCACTGGGCTAGACCGCTACCGGAAAAAAGGGAGCAGAGAGCTGTCCTGGCCCAAAGAGCCACAGTCTGTATACATATTTGCAATTTCATTATTTCTTTCACAATTTATTTTATTGCTACTATTGCCATCTATTTTGTTTCCTTTACCAACCTCCTTTTCATAAATTGCCTTTCCCTTCAATCAACTGATTAGTTTTCCTCCCCTTGTTGTTGCTATCTATGTTTACTACCATCCCAAATTCCTACTGTCTGAGAAGCTTTAGAAGGCTTTATTAAGCTATTAACAGTGTAACCTCTTAGTAGTGGGACCTGACACTAACAGGAAGCTGTCTTTTTTTTTTTAACTTGTTAAACTGTAAATAGGGAGCTCTGGTGGCCTAGTGGCAAGAAGCTGTGCTGCAATCTCAAAGGCATGTGGCTTGAGGGCACCAGCTGCTCTGCAGGAGAAGAATGGGCAATTTCCTTTGGTGAGATTTCTACCTCTAAAAACCCACCGGAGGGTCAGCTATGGGTAGACAACAATATACTGTAAATAGTTTAAGTTCTTTATAAAAGCACATATTCTTTGTGCACCTTCTTAAGAAATGGGGGGAAAAAGATTTCAAGCACTCAGCCACTAAAACCAGGCTCTCTCTGGCCTCTGAGAATCCTCTTCAAAGTTCCTTGAAGCTCAAAGGGCCATGTCTTTCCAATTCATAAGTAATCAAATATTTTTAAAAATATCTTATATCTTCCTACATTTCTCAAGAGAAGCTATATAGTGTCACTACTGCCTGTTTTAAAAGGCTCATTCGTAATCTGAAAAAAAGAAAAGAACATTAGAATCACAAACTGCCACCCCAGGCCTAAAGTCCACCAGAGGAAATTAATTCACTCACCATATTATATTTAGGCAACAGAATTTCTAGCACAATGCACAAGTGTTTGTCACACAGCTCCCACCAGCACAAATTCAATGGAGCACAAAGGATGTCTTATCCATGTGGCCCAGGGCATACCCCCAACAGCAGAGGAGAATGACAAACTGAGTCATACAACTAGGACTGGAACCAAAATGGGGGCTAGAAAGAGGCGTAATGTTCTTTGCCTTTTCCCATATTGCCTGTCTTCCTCCACCTGGACCTCAGCTGCAGACAACTGAGGCTGCCTACTTCTCAGGGACCAGAAGCCACTGCAGGGTACAGGACAACACGCTCCCTGGGCTCCAAGCGAAACCAAAATGGCAGTGAATGTTATCAATCATAATTTTACTTAGAAAGAGAAACTGAAACACTTGAACAGAAGGTTCTGTTCTGCCTTACCACACTGAACTCTTGAAACTTAGGGTGTGAAAATATCAAATGCAGACTGACCAGTTGTTAAAAGAAATCTTCAACGTATCAAACATTAGCAATGGAGAAATTAAGAAAACAGTCAATTTCACAAAAATTAAGCACCCATAAAGGTGTCATAGGTGTAGCTGATCCATCCCAAGTTTCAGGCCTAGAGTAACCTGTAACCCAGCTTTCCAGAAGTGTTCTGTTCTACAAGCTAGATCTCCAACTGTGAGAACCTGCATGCAGTATGTACGGCTACTGCTGTTCTGGGACAGCTTTCAGGAAGTCATTCTTACAAGGAACTGCACACATAGGCTCCCACATAGAACAATGTACTATAGGCACTCTCAAATGTTGATCAGTGAGTTATGTAGGGACAACAAAACCAAACTAGCCCCAACTGAAGCCCATGAGGCTGTGCAGCAGCAAGTGGAGAGCTCAGGGACAGTGCTTCTGACACAGCTGACCTGCTGCAAGGTGAACTGGAGTGGTTGCTCACCAGTTCCAGCTCAACTCTGACTCCCACCCCCAGATCACGCTGTGGCTACCAAGACATCCTACCCAAACTGACCGTTCAGGGCTCAGGGAAGTGACTTTTTTTTATTATATGGCACAGTTTGGCACAGTTATGTCTTTAGTCTTTGGGGTACTTTTATACTGTCCAAGAGTGATAGCTCTCTTTTTTTCCTTTTTTTTTTCTTTAAAAACAGATGGCCAAACCAGGACATATACTAAAAAAAAAAAAAGGAAGGTTACTTACCTGAGCCCTAACATCCCAGCTACCATGGATTCCTGTTGGAGCTGGTCTACAGAAGCAAGATGTATTCTGGGGAGTCACATGTCACATCAAAGCAGGAACTGGTGAGTCTGTACTTTTATGGAGCCTAAAACAAAGAAAATTGTAAGTTGAAAGTCCCCATTGTGCTCCATGACTTTTTTCCCAGGGCAATTCGGGACTTCTTGAAGATAAATGTACAGACCGAGAGCTATGCTAATTCCTGGCTCAGGTAGCTAGAAGTCAAGTCTAAACCAAGTACATGGTTAGCAGGTAAGACATAGTTACAATCGAAACTATGAAACCATGCACACTTTTGTCCAAATCAACATGCACAAGTTTTGTCACTTTCAGGGAACACTGTGACTCCACAAAGCCTACCAACAGGGATAATTGCAAGTATCTCTGCCACCAAGTCATAGAGAAATCCTCCGGGTAAGAATATATGCGTGCAATCGAGCACACAGTATCAAAACTCCATCCCAGAAAGAATGCAGGAAATCAGGAAGCAATTCTCCCATTTTCAAGTAGCTGAAGTTGCAGAGTTATAGGACATGTTGTAAGCGGAGGGCTTTGAGAAAGCCCAAGCCAGCTACTTCCAAACCCTTCACCTTGGTCACATGCAGTATCCAAGGGAAGGTGGGTCTCTGATAGGTGGCCTTTTGCTTTTGTCCACTTCCAAAACAGAGCTTTTGTCATTATGTATTTAGCTGTTAAGATAATTACTGTTTCCTTTTTGCAGACTAAATTGCCCTAAATTAGCTAATCTCAGATGCCTTTGCTAACCAGTCCAATAGGTAGTACTTTTATCTTTAGACACACACACACACACACTCTCTCTCACTCTCTCTCTCTCACCTCGTATGGTCTTAAAATCTCTTTTTATAAACAATTACTTATGTAATCAAACCTGGGGAAAGGGCAACACCAATCAAGTTGTTCACAGCTGGTTTAGAACTAGCCAGAGGCGTACCTGGTTAAATGAGGCCTCTCAATTCTCTAAACAAAGGTTCACACCACAGAACACTGAGCCCCTAGAAGGCCATTTCCCGGTATTTACTCAGCAGGACCCTGGGGGGGTGTGTGCTGGAGAAACATTAATTATCAAAGCCTCAATGTGTTTTCACTTGTCAACTCAGGGAACTGGACTACGATTCTTTCCAGCACCAACAGTTTCAGATCTTTGATTCACTCAAGATTTCATTAAAAGCAAACCAAAACCAAGAAATGTGCCAGAAAATGAGAACAGGGTGGCAAGCAGATCAGTAAAGGAATGACTTGCAGGTCCACATACATGACCTCCGTGGTTCCAAAGGCGAGACATGAGTGATCCTTTTTGCAGGCTTGGTCCCACCAGCCCAGAGGCAAGATCAAGAACTCAGATCTATCTGGTAGGAACTGCAAGTCGGCCAGGTACCTATCTATTGACACATGAACATGTGAAAATACCCAACAGCAGTGGGCTTGCAAGATAGATTACAAAGACTGAGGCTTATTACCTAATGGAGCACTAGAGCCCAATTTTGACGTGGGCATAGGGACACCCTGTCCATGCCCAAATTCACACCTCCACACCAACAAAACAGTTAAGAAATGGTATGTGAATAAAGCTTCCATAGGAGACACTGCCTTGGAAAAGATAAGCAAAACAGGTAAAGGGAGGAGGACTTTATCTGAGAACAGCAAGCCCAAGAAGAGTGACCACTCCCATTTGTTCCACCCCAAACTACATAAAGGTACAGTGGTGACCAACAGCGATCTGAATGAGAAAGGTCCATCCAGAAGCATTAGGACAAGGTCTTGCAACTGGAGTGGGCCATGCTCTACCCAAGAAAAAGGTGGTTGCTGCTGCCACAGGAGGCTGGTGTGTGCTTGCACTGTCAGTGCTGAGGGCACTCCAAGGCAGCAGGTCTGGGCCACATGCCTCTTCAGGAGGGCTCCAGGGATGCAGCAGCAGTTCCTACAGATGGAGGCCTGGGCAGGGGCACTCTCAGAAAGAATGCATGAGCCAGGCTACGCACGAGGCTCTGAGAACACTCAGGCAACTCTAGAACGGAGTGAGGCTTCGAAGTTACATCATCTGCTATGAAAACAGTCCCCAAGAAGTTAGACTGGAGCTGGAAACCTTTGCTGCTCTTTATTCAAGGTTGAAGAAGAAACAGACTTTTTCCACATGCAAGAGGGGAGTGGGTTGGGGGAGTGGAATAAGGTGGGATCACCTGGCCAGCTGATTTTCCTAACCACACAGCTTGCCCCTTACCCTACACCAGATGTGGGCAGAGCAGGACTCCATTTGGGAAATGTAAACAAACACTAGGGAGAGCTCTGGTGGACTAGTGGATAAGTTGTGCTGCTGACCCAAAGTCACATAGTTTGAATCCACCAGCTGCTTTGTGTGAGAAAGATGGTTCTGCTAAAGGTACCTAACAAAAATAACAAAGAACTAAAGACTATATTCTAATCTTCCTTTGCCCCAGACCTCTGGATTCAGGGAGTAAAAAAAATCAAAGCAGGATTTATTGAAGGCTGCTTTCCTCACAGGTGGAAAAATGCTTGAGTATCCTAGATTTAGGAACCCTAGTGGCTAACACTCTGCTAAGCAAAATGTTCCTGCAAGGGGAGAAAGATAAGGTGCTCTGCTTCCATGAAGGTGATGACTGTGACACTTTTAGGGGCTAGTGCTGCTCTGTCCTGCAAGGTCCTGATGAGTTGGAACCCACTAGCCAGCACTGAGTTTTACTCTAAATTTAAAGCATTCCACATAAATATATTAAACAGGAAATAGAGTAAGTGTGACAGAGCAGTATTAGCAAGCAAGCTGTACAAGGCTTCTTCAAGCTACAAGGACAAGCTGCCTTGAGAAGCCATCAGGAATCTCCAGAGAAAATTAGACTTGGGATGGTGCTGTTTAAAGGGCTAGGATCAAACAAGCAGCTACAGAGGAGTGCAAGGGCAGCCCACCCACCTCATCTACCCAGGAAAGGGTATCAGAGACCTAGTTCAGCCCATCTTAGCTTCTGATGGACGAAACTTAGAACTTTTGTCAAGTGAAGCACGAAGGTACCCCGGATTGTACCCCAGCGGTGTGGCCACCCAGCTGACTTGCCATGAATGGGCCATCTGGGCTAACTGAGCTCAGCCATGGCAGAAAAGCTAAGTACTCTTATCTTGATTGAGTGCACTTTCTAAGATTCACACGCGCTCAGACTCAGGTAAGGAAATAAAAGCAAGTGTTTCTAGGGTTTCTTGACTGGAAACAGAAGGGCAAGTCCTGAAATAAACAAGCCTATTTCCCTGAATCTCAGGTGGAAATTCCCAAAAGACCTAAAACGCCCAGGACATGTCTTGATACAGAGGTCCAGCATATTTCATAACTCAAGTGGGTTAATCTTATTACTGACTGCAATTACTTTGATCCAGATGAAAATTCCAGCTACCGAATCCAAATGTTTCCTTTACAGTAATCACTGCCTATTAACAGTCCGGCTTCACTACAGGGCCCAGGTATGCTTCAATTCCACCCGACAGCAGAAGGCCTAAAACTTGTGGAGTCCTATGGAGCTGAGGCTAGCTAGTGGCCCCAACACCACAGCTTCATGTCCCTGGTCACCAACCATTCCCTTAATCACAACTCATAATCTCACCAATGTGGGTCACTGATCCAACACACGCACGCCAATGGTTCTGGAGAGGCCATTCCTGTTACTGGAAAAATCACCACAAGTGCACATCTGCCTGACCATGAGTCAGGAATATCAATTTTGTGGTGGGGCCCATTTCTGTGGTGACCAACCCACACCCGAACCCACAACCCACTCCCCGACAGAAGCCACTGACACAAAGCAAGCCTCCTCCCATCAGGGTCCATACTTATCAGCGTCTCCCCTGTAAGAACAATCCTTCCAGACTTTTCAAAATGACCTTAATCTTCAGCACAAACCGGAGAAACATTTTCACTGCAACATCAAAGTCATCTGAGCCTTGGCGGGGGTGATTCAGTCACTGCCCAAGCGGAGACAGAATAAACTTTCAGGAAAATCGACTGAAGCCACCTAAATGCTGTGAACTGGTCCTGGCGATCTTGTGCAGGGCGCGCGCTCCGGGGCTGTGGGAGCCCATTACATACTATGTCCCATTACACTTATGTAACTGGAAGATCGCTGGTGAGGGGGGAGGAGGGGAGGGCGCTCATATCCCGAGTCACAGTCCCCCCAGAGCACTCTGACCCTGCCAGGGGCGCACTCACGCGAAGAGCCCCAAGTGCTTCTGGACAAGACAAACAGTTCCCTACCCACGGTTCCAGAAGAGAACTACAGCCACCCCTTTACATGAGTGGTGGGACCCAGGACACGATGTCTAGTTCCTTTCGTGGGTGGACAATAATTTCCGCCTACTCCTGGCTGCTAGATGGAGAGAGGAGCCTATGGATGGACTTGCTTCCAGAGGGGGCAGAAAGTCGTGGAATGGGCGAGAGGAAGGGGGAGGCAAACCCTGGAGATGGGGGGTGAGCGCGCTGGAGCCCTTGTGGCGCACTCTCCCGACGGGAGGAGGACTGCGCACGCGCGCCGATGGGGGGGGTGAAGTAACGGGAGAGGGGGCGCGAGAGGGAGGGAGAGAGGAGAGCGCGATCCAGGGGAGAGGCCGGGGGCGCGGGCGCGCGACGGCGCCTCGGCCCGAAGCCCCGAGAAGGGCAGGACGCGCGCGCAGCCACGACAGACGAAGCCCGGCAACAGGGGCGCCCACGGAGCCGAGATGCGCGGAGAGGGCGGGAGGAAGTGGGGCTGAAGGCCGGAGCGGCCCGGGCGGCGGCCCCTCGAGACCGCGGCGAGGACGGTCACCAGCGAGCGCGAGTGACGGGCCAAGGGGGAGCCACCAATGGAGGCGGCAGGCGGGGGAGGGGGAGAGTAGAGAGGAGGGACGCCATCCGACAGCTCGAGCTGCCCGAGCCCGCGGGCCCCTCCCGCGCCACGTCCCGCCCCTGCCCCCCTCCCCCAAGGAAGGGTCCCCGCCCGCGGCCTCAGCGGTACCACTCACAGTCTCTCCTCTTCGCCTCCTCCTCCTCCTCCGCTTGGCGCGGTGGCGGCGGCGGCGGCCATTTTCCGGACGGCTTTTACCACAGCCCTCTCTCCGAGAGGAGGGAGTGCGCGCGCCACCGACGCCGAGACCCCGCACGGCCGACGTCGCGCCCCGCCCTCCCCGGCTGGCCTGCGCGCTGCTGCACCTGCGCGCCCGCGCCCGCGCCCCGCCTCGGTCAGGCCCCGAACCCGCCCACCATTGGCTGCGGTGGCCGCGTTGGGGCGGGGCCTAGGCGGTGTCTCTACCTAATGGCGAGAACTCGTGTCAGTTACGTCCAGGGAAAAGGGGGCGGAACCCCCGTCCAGGCTCCGATTGGCTACCACCCGCAGTCATTTGGGAACTAGAAGCGGCTGGGCCCTGGAGGGGCTGGTTTAGTAGGCGGAATATGAATGCTACGGATTAATGGGCCCTAGCGGATATTAGGGCCAGTGAAGGCCTAGGCTACCCAACGCTTGTTTGTCCTGACCACAGGCCAGGTGGTCCGCCTTTCAAAAACCAAGCAAAGCGCACTGAGATAACGGTTTTCTTTCACCCGCATTTCTCTCGCTCACTCCCTTTATAGAAACAGTAAAGTTGCTTGACGTTGGCCTGGCTGAGGAATCTTGGTTTCTGAGGCCTACCCACTGCTGCCGTCTGAGAGGCGGGCACTAGACTGACAAATCACAGCCCCTGCCTTCGTGGAACTCTGCTAGGGGAAAGGATGCATACTGTGATCTCCTAGACCTGCAACCGTTGGAATGGATGTTCAGTGGAGTGCTTCACTTTGCCTGCATGATAGAGGCAAGACTTCCTAGAAGGGAATTGGGGGCCAAGATCCAGCAATCCTATTTCTGGAAAACATTTCAGAGGAGAAAAGTTTTGGCCAATGTAGTTTCAGAACAGGACTGTATATTAAGGTGATCCTGTTCCTGCTACTGACTGATCCACTTCATATCATACTCCTTGTGCGGGTACTGTACTTACCAGGGAGTCGTCTGATTCTAATTTTATTCTCTCTGACTCCGCAGGAGAAAGATGGCCAATCTCCTGTGCGATTTCCAGCCTCAAAAACCCAATGGAAGGTCACCTGTGAGCCAGTCTCCACTCGACTGCAATGAGAGCAAGAATCCCTTCATTACCTGTGAACAGAGGTAGCCACCATTAGTTGGCAGTACTAACACCACTCTGTCCTGTAGCACTCTTTTTGTTGTTGTTACTGGGGTTTTTTTTATTCATTATAATGAAAGTTTACCAAGGCTTGGGATTTCCATTCATTTATTGTTGCACTTTTCTCCCTGCTCGTCCCCTTCTCCCCAATTCACTCTTTTCCTTGAAAAGTAAAAAACTCTTTCATTGTTATACAATTCCTCCCCCCCAAGTCCACTCCACTGTGTAGCCTTCATTCTGGACTCCTGTCATGACAATAAAACCGAATCATACATCCCTTTTAAACAGTCCTCTCCCTCATCTGTTTCAATGCAGTATCCATCATTCCTCCCCTCCTTTTCTGTCTTCCCTCAACCCTGATGTCAGTCCTGTTTTACAACAGTGACATTATGCAATATTTGTCCTTTTGACCGAGATACTTCACTCAGCATAATGTCCTCCAGGGTCATCCATTTTGCATATTTCACGAGTTCCTTGTTTTTCAATGCAGCATAGTATTCCATTGTGTGAATGAATGTACTAGAGTTTCTCTATCCATTCATTTGTTGTTGGGCACTTGGGTTGTTTCCAACTCTTTGCTATTGCGAACAAAGCTGCAATAAACATGGGTGTGCATATATGTGCTCGTGTGGAAGTTATGGTCTCTTTAGGGTATATTCCCAGTAGTGGAATTGCTGGGTCAAGTGGTATTTCTATTTGCAACTTTTTGAGAAAGCGCCATACTGCCTTCCATAGTGGTTGCACCATTTTACACTCCCACCAGCAGTGAATAAGGGTTCCAGTTTCTCCACAACCTTGCCAGCATTTGATGTTTGTTGTTCTGTTAAATTTTGGTATTCTGACTGGGATGAGATGATATCTCAGTTGTTTTGATCTGTAGCATGGTTATACTTTCTAGAAAATAAACCTAGTTCTGCTAGCTTGCCTGGTAAGCCTTTTTGTAATAGGTACGCTTTAATTTTATGTTATCAGTATAAACATTTATATGTCATTATGTAACAGTACAGAGCTCTGGTGGATTAGTGGTAAGGAATTGTGCTGCCAATCCAAAAGCACACGGTTCGAATCCACTAGCTGCTCCATGAGAGAAAGATGGGCAGTCTCCTCCCATGCAATTTACAGCTTCTGAAAACTTCCTGGAGGGTCAGTTATGACTTGGTTTCAACTCAGTGGCACATAGACCAACAGCCAACAAGTTGGAAAAAAAAATTTGGGAATAACATAATCTGACAAGGGTCTAAAATGTATCAAAAACCTTGATAAGAAAAAGAAACAACCCAACCATAAAATGAGTGATGGTGGTGTTATGTGCCCGTCGAGTTGGAACTGATCCATAGCTGACCCTCCAGAGGGTCTTCAGAAATAGATAATTGCACAGGAGGCAGAGAAGCTAATGGATTCAAACAGGGTGCCTTTGGGATTGCAGTGCACCTTCTTATCACTAGACCACCAGAGCTCTCTATGAAGGACACAAAGAGGTTTAGAAAGACTAATGGCAATCAGATTTACAAGAAATAAGCGAGGAACATGTGATTAGATTGTGGGTACTGAAGTAGAACAAAGCATGTATGAGAAATGAAAAAATTCTTTGTAAACCTTCAGTGAAATCACAACAACAACAAAAAGTCCATCACAGAAGAAAAACTGATTTTTGCATTTATGTTACATTTTTCTCTTCCTCTTTCTCACCCCTCCCCTGCCCCACCCCCCAAACTGGCCAAGCAATTGACTCTTGCTCCATTGATGCCTGGACCTAAAGACAGTATCAGACTTCACCATAACAAGATAAAGGTAAATAATCCAATAGAAAAATGGGCACAGGATATGAACAGGCACTTCACCGAAGACGACATTCAGATGGCTAACAAACACATGAAGAAATGCTCAAAATCCCTAGCCCTAAGAGAGATGCAAATTAAAACAACTATGAGATATCATTTCACCCCAGTCAAAATAGCAAAATTTAACAGAACAGCAAGCAACAAATGCTGGCGAGGTTGTGGAGAAACTGGAACCCTGATTCACTGTTGGTGGGAGTGTAAAATGGTGCAACCCCTGTGGAAAGCAGTATGGCGCTTTCTCAAAAAGTTGCAAATAGAGATACCATTTGACCCAGCAATTCCACTACTGGGAATATACCCTGAAGAGACCATAGCTGACATCCAAGCAGATATATGCACACCCATGTTTATTGCAGCTTTGTTCACAATAGCAAGGAGTTGGAAACAACCTAAGTGCCCATCAACAAACGAATGGCTAGAGAAGCTGTGGTATATTCGCACAATGGAATACTATGCTGCATTAAAAAACAAGGAACTCATGCAATATTATTCAAAATGGTTGACTCTGGAGAACATTATGCTGAGTGAAATATCCCAGTCACAAAAGGACAAATATTACATGATGCCACTGTTGTAGAATGGGACTGTCCTTGGGGTTGGGGAGAGACTGAGTAAGATGGGTTCAATAATGTATACTGCACTGAAACAGAGGAGGGAGAAAACTGTTTAAAAGAGATATATAACTAGGTATTTCTGTCATCACAGGAGACTAGAGCTAGGGCTACATGGTGGAGGGGACCTGGGGGAGGGTTTGTAAAACAATGAAAGAATCTTTTCTTTTACTTTTCCATAATTTCTGGACTCATGTACTTATAACTTGTTAGTCAAATTTGTGTCTTCTAGGTTGCAACACCCCCACGATATGAACATGTTCAAGGATATGAACATGTACGGCCAAGCACAATCAATAAGAGTGCATCTAAATTCCAAACTCAATCTCCATAATAGTCTATGTGTTTCCTACTGCCAAAGGGGCCCTTTAGAGTAGTGAGAGAAGATCTTCACCCTGAAACCCACAGCGTCCCTTTTCAGCAGGAAGTAGCTAAGAGAATACGCCATCCCCTTTTCCTTATGACTCAGGGTGAAGTCTCTCTCAGGGAGGAGTGATAGGGAATGGCAAAGGACACACTGACAAAGAAGATTAATCAGAACTGGCTTTGACAAGCACTGTGGCATTTGGACAAGAACAAACTGGGAGGAGGGTAGAGAGAATAGTGCAACAATGAATGAATGGAAACCCAAAATCTCTGTAAATGTTTATGAAAATTAATAAAATATAGAAAAAAAAAGACAGTATCAGACTTATAGTTGAGCATCTCAGTCAGTACCCAAAACAGTGGTAAATATTTAAGGAAAACCATCAAGAAAGCAACATTCTCACAGAGAGCTCACTTAGACTGATAATAACCCACGAACTAAAACCTAACTGGAGACTTTAAAGAACCAAGTCTGGCCTGTTATTGTATGTGCTGTTGAGTTGACTATGACTCACAAAGACCCTGTAAACAACAGATCTGAAATTGACCCTATCTTGTGCCATCCTCCTATCTCTAACACATTCAAGCCCATGGTTATAGTCACTGTGTCAATTAATTTCATCAAAAGTCTTCCTCTCTTTTACTGTCCCTCCACCTTTCCAAGCATGATGTCCTTCTCCAAAGACTGGTCCCTCCTAACAACATCCAAAAATTGTTATGTCTCAACAACATGCCTGAAGTAAGAGATGGAATTTCACCATCCTTGCCCCGAGAAGCACTGTGGTTTCACTTTCTCCAAGACAGATCTGTTTGTTCTCTTGGCAGTCCATGGAATAGCCAGTACTCCAACACCACAACCCAAAGGTATTCTTCTGTTATCTTTAATCATTATCCAACTTTCAGATGCATCGCAAACAATTGAGAAGACTATGGTTTGGATCTGGTTTACCTTCATCTTTAAGCTGACATCATTGCTCTTTAGTACCTGGAAAGTTCTCTGACAGCAGATTTCCCCAGTACGACTTGTCATTTGATTTCTTGACTGCTATGGTATCAAGGGTGTTGAATGTAGATGAACTTGTTGACAACTTCAGTCT